TTGGGAGTTTTTTCCCCCCCCCAAAATTTTGGTTCCCCCAATGGGGGGGGGCCAAAAGGGGGGGGGAACCCCTTTTCCCCTTGGGATTTTTTTTTCCCCCCCCCCCCCCCCCCCCCCTGGGGGGGGGGGGGGGGGTTTTTTTTGGGGCCCCCCCCCAAAATTCCCCCCCTTTTTGGAAACCCACCCCCCCCCCGGGTTTTGGGAAAAAAGGGGGGGGCCTTCCCCCCCGGGGGGAAGAGGGCCGGCTTCCCTTTTCCCCGGGAAAATTGGGGTAAGGGGCCCCTTTTTCCCCCCCCCCCCCCCCCCCCCCCCCCCCCCCCTTTCCCGAAACTGGACGTAGTCCGTTGCAGCTTGTTGTAGAAGCGAGGATCTATGACGCCATACATGCAATCCACGCCACAACCGACAACCATGCAATGGGTTTGAGGTATACCCCCCCCCACCCCACCCCCGTGCGCGCGCCTGCCGACCAAAGAGTACCACTCGGCCTGGGGTGTTTGCGTCGCTCATTTCTCTTCGTGCTGTCCCTCGAACATTTTGCCTCCCTTCGGACTCGGCGATTTAACTGCCTAGCTTGGGCTGTACCACGGCCTTACGCCGATGGGTCGTGGGAATGCTCGGGTGTGCGCACCCCCCCTCCTCCCCTCAGCATCACAGCAGGCTATCGTCACCTCATGCGCTGGGTTGGAAAATCTGAATGGTAGTGAGATTCGTACCTCGTGCCTTCGGGGTTAAGACACTTTTTTCTATCGTTACGCTGGATGATAACCTAGACGCGGTTGCATGGAAGCACCCGCGATTTGTGGCGTCGACACCCCCTGTCTGCGCATGAACGTGCGTGGCAGGGATCGGGATCTCATCATGACCTCGACACAGGGTGACGGCTCCAACCAATCAATAACATGTTTTTCTTCCCTGGCTTCGGCGTGGATGTGGGTCTTACCTCTCTCGATACCGTTGCCCTTCCATATTTACGTTCCGCCTTCGCAGCGAAACACATGCTCTGTCCTCAACCATGTTTCCCACAAATTGTAGTCATCAGACCAGGTTTTGTGATGTCGTATCTTGGTTGTATTTTTGTTCACCCTTGTCCCTGCTTTTTCCAGAATCGAGTCTGTGGGTCCACAGCGGCAGCCCGGGTCTGGCCCCACAAACCCCACAACCGGCTTGCCCGGCGGCAGCGGCAGCAGCGGCTCCACCAATCGTGGAGGCAGCAGCAACAGCGGTGGCGGCGGTGGCGGTGGCGGTGACACTCTGATCCTACACCTCAGCGGTACCCGCGAGGGAGTCGAGGAAGCCCGGCGCAGGCTCGACATCACCATCCGCACGACGGAGGCGGTGGTGAAGGCCTCGCCCCCGCTCGCCGCCGCCCTCCGCGCGTCCAAGCGCGCCCTGCTGCTCCGCCTGGAGAAGGAGCACGGCGTCAAGATCTTCATCGTCGGCCCCGCCGCCGCCGCCGCCGCCGCCGTTGATGGCGATGGCGGCGGCACCGGTGCTGCCGGAGATAGCGGCAAAGGTGGTGGTCGCGCGGAGCATCAGTCGCGTGGTAGAGGAGACGGCGGGGCGAGGGCGGCGGCGCGGGGACAGGTGGCCGTGGACGTGACGGTCTGCGGGTTGCCGAAGGAAATCGACGCGGCGCGGGCGGAACTGGAGGGCCTCGATTGCCTGGAACTTGCTGTACCCGTCACCCGAAAGTCTTTGCCTTCCATCTTCGGCTCCGGGGGTGCCAACCTCCAGCAGATGGAGGTGATAACTTATGCCGAGGCTACCACGCGTGCCGCCCCTTTGGCCGTCTTCGATAGAGCGTGCTACTGCAGTTCGTAGCATATCGATTTCCCTAACAGCAGCGCGTTCACGACGCACCCCCCCCCACCGCCCCTCGGTGCGGCACACGGCAGTCGGAGTACGGCGTGTGCTTGGACGTGCAGACGGGTGTGTCCCGGGTGGTGTTGATGGGGGTTCGAGCAGGTGTGGAGGCGGCGGCGGAAAAGATCCGAGCGATATCCCACGAGTTCCGGGACACGGAGGAGCGGTGGCCGGTGGAGCCGTACCAGGTGTGTTCGGGGGCTAACCCTAGGTGGTGTAGCGGCGGCGGTAGTGGCGGCGGTTTTCTGTGTTGGCCGGTGGCAGGCCTTGGCTGGAGTAGGTTTTCACACACGTGGTTTAACATGGGGTGTCTGCATCCCTCCCTGTGTGTCTTTTGCCGTCTCTCTCTCTCTGCAAGGTGACTGTTAGATGCGTGGGTGTTCGTTGTGAATTGTTTTTTGTGCTGATGTGGGTGGCTGGTTGGAGTGTTCGTGCCACCGCCGCCGCCGCGGTCGTGTTCTCACCCGTGCGTAGGATCCCTCCCCCGCCCCTCCACCCCTAGGGTTGCGGCACCCACCCCCCGGAGGAGCATTCAGCCCCTTTCACGGACTCACGCTGCCGTATTGAGCACAAGAAGTCCGGCGGCGATGTAGCCACCCCGTAGTGTTGTCCGGCAGCGTATCCTCGAGCTACCGGCCTTGACTGCACATACAAGACAATACACAAGCTTTTAGGGTCGGTCTTAACGAAGAAATCAGATCTCGAAATCACATTCAGAGTTGGTTATAAGACCGGAAGATCCACAGAACGATTTCGTTGATTGGCTGAAATGTTATGGAACCCGTCGAATCTTTAGGACTTAAAAGAGGACGACCCAAAACCAAGTCGGGATTTGAAAAAAGGTGAAATAATTTAATCGGGTCCGAATTGGGTGAACAGCGTCCATAGTTGCGGGGCCACGGTCTACTCGGATACACGGCGCGTGCCCACCTATCCCCATCCACACGAACTCCACCCACCGTCGAGCACAGAGGAAAGAAATAGCACAAAAAGCCAACCCAAAGGGAGGGTGACTGCGCATCGTTGTTGCACAGGACTGGTGCCGAAAAAAAACGTGTGTGGGATGTGTTGGTCTGTGGGGCAATCTCCCGCGGGTTGTCGAACTTCAAATGCACAGACGAATTGGCGGCTTTCCGTCGGACGAGAGTCGATTCAAAGTGTCACATGCATAGACATCGTGTCAGTACCGCACAGAGGCCATGCACGCGTTTGGTGTGTGCTTCTCGGCAGCGATAGCTCCCCATGTGGTGTGGCCACGTCATAACAGTACGTCACAACAGCAGTCTGGCAGTTGACAAGCGGCGGACCTCTCGGGTTGTTCGCGGTGGACTGCAGAGATTTGTTTCCATTTGGCAAATCTCCCGTTAAGACACACAGGCCATTTCTGTCCGGATTTGGGTAGATCCAACTCTTTTATTCTTATATCGAAAGGTGATTTCGAGATCTGATTTCTTCGTTAAGACCGACCCTTACATCTCCCGCCCAATCACCCCCTCCCTGTAACTGGAACGATGCGCCTCCAAAACAAACTGTTCCCAAGGTCTCCTTCCTACTCCGCAACCGCGGAGCGGAGCTCAAAGGCATGGCCCACCGGGTAGGGGGTGGCGTCATGATGACCATCCTCGAGGAGGCCAACACCAAGGCGCCGGCGGCGGCGCCCACGTTGCCCGCGGCATCGCTCTCGGAAGGAGAAGGGGAGGAGATCAATGAAGCCCGCCACCCGCCAGAGGAGGAGGTGGAGGAGGTGGAGGAGGGAGGGGGGGGGAGTCAGAGCACGACGTCGTTCGTCTGGGTACGGGGTACGGCTCCGAGGGTGTCGGCGGCCGGCGTGCTGCTGCTGGAGCGCTTGAAGGTGAGGCTCCGCTGCGGTGTGTCGAGTCTCGTCCTCGGCCACGACGTGCGTTTGTGCTGTTTTTGGCCTCGTAGGGTGACCTGTCGGCACGGGTTTTTGTTCTGGTTGAATGGGCTCTGTCTTTTTTTTTTTTCCTTTTTCCAGCTGCCACTCAATCTCTCTACCAGCCACACCATCTCCAGAAACAAAGACACAAGAGTGTCCCGGTGGCTTCTCGGATTCTATCAGAGCGGCGAAAATGACGCTGCCCGCCTTCCGACGACGAACCTAAAAAAAAACGCACAGCTTCGATGACGCTCTTTAGCCGAAGCAAGGCGCAATTACAGTCTGCTCCCCGTGAC